AAACCAGAATCATAGTTCCGGTTATAGAACCCTCATACCAAACGCAACCTGAAAGTCCTACAGATTCTTTCACTTTATACGAAGCACTTTCGGCTTTTCTTGCTAAATCATTCTTTCTATCTCTCTTTTGTTTTAAATAAATCCATTGCCTAAAAGTAGAGTGAGCATCACTTGTCGTTTGAGTTCAAGTCAAGATGGTTTCCTTTAATATAATCAATCACTTCATCCTCAGTCAGATATTTTATTGACAAACCTCTTGAAACGCAATCCCTACAAAACAAATTTAAGGGTGTTGGGGGAAGAAAAGTTTGTTTGTTGACTCAAAATTTAATAACACATTGGTTTACCTCACTCTTGTTGAGCTTATTTGGTTCGGTATGAGTTCATCCACAATTCTTATGTTATCCTGTCAAGAAAGCACGACGTTAAGTTTGATTCAAGATTATTAAATCAATATTTGAACAATAATATTGAACAACTGAAAACTTATATTGGGTCTCATTTGATACCACATTTCGAATTGTTGAACTAATGCAGAATTTTTACTCAAACCAGACCAAGAACATACAAGTTTCAAAAGTCAAAATTAAGACTTAAGAACTTGGTCGGGACAATTGGGTTTACTCCAAAACTTAAACCTTTTTCACACACAAGAAGGTTAAGCAAATCTTCTGGTTTTTAATCAGAAAAGGAAAATTCTTCTAGTCTAGTTATAAAAAATTATATGTGTTGGCAAATTAAGACATCTGATTACCCGGTTCTCATTCAAAATCGGATCATCTGAGAAAATTTTCTCAATATCTTGTCCTTCTCTTCGAGTGCAAACCATACGATACTCACTGCATATGGTCCTGACCTGACTGACAAACATGAGAGGGATTACAAGGTTGTCTAAGGATTTAGCGAAAGCCTAGGATCAAGATCATTAGGGTCTAGAGGAAGGAGTACAACATGAAACCACTTGAATAGCTAATGGCTCAAAATATTCTCCAAGAATCTAAAGAATATCAATAAATATATAGTTCTGTATAAAAACACCTGCTCAGGAATCCAAAATCCAGGAATGGAAAAAGATTGGAGGAGATCGGAACCGTAGACAACCACGACCTTGAGAGATTCTAACAGAGGATGATGAAAAACAAGTTATAACCATGAAGTTGCAAATGAATCACAAATCAAATTAGAACAGAAATGCTCAAATTGATTAACAAAAGAGAACATAAAAGGAAGTACATATATATACATGCAACTTGTCATTGGCAATGGCTTTTTAAAACTAGACGAAGAAAAATGAAAAGCAGAGATGAAATTATGATCATATTCCTACCTCTGGGTATCATATTTCCCTCACATAAGAAACTTTTGACTCTACACAAAACGGTCAGAGTGCGTTGATAGGAACTTTGTCT